GTTGCCAACAGCAACAGCATGACTGAAGAGACAATCAACAGAAAAGTCTTGCCCTACGCCAGACTTAACACCAGTCACGAGCACATCACATGTATAGTATTAATAATATAGGTAAAACTTGAAGTTTACAACAAAAAATATGGGCCAGTCTAAAGCAGCTTGTAAGATTCATCTGTCATTTTACAAGTTCATGAGACAGAAACAAACCTGCAGTTCTGCCAGACTGAAAACTTTTAACAGCTTTTTATTTCATACTCACATAACCAAACACCTGTGTGGTATGGTACCTCCTTGTACTGTATAAGGAAAATTCCTGGTAAGCCCTTAACAGTTTTCAGTGGGGCTTGGATGCCTATCAGAATGTCTGATTACAAGAATTAGCAGCCAGGCTGATTTTGCCATCAACTAGAAGGCTCAGTCAAAAACATGGAGGTCATATTAATTAATAACAAAATTTTCCAGCAGTTGGATTCAATGTGAACCCTTTTAGCCTAATGGACTCCAGTGTTATCAGGACACAGCATATAACACATATAACTCAAGTTCTGAAATACTGAATACTAAGTACTACTCGTATTTCTAGAATTACGTTTGGCTTTGAAAACACAAGAGGGTCATATCAGTACCTAAAATCTAGTTTGAATTTTACAGTAATCTCATACAAGGCTCACAAATGAAAGACCAGTCATCGAACCTGAAGTGGGTAAAGACATTGAAGCACATTTCCTTACACCTGTTGCTCCTGTTCACAAAGCAGTATAGTAAGTAGGTCCCGGAAGTTCGCGGACTGTTAAGATAAGATTTGTTGAGAAAGTCAGTGCATCATCGAGGACTGTCTGTCTTATTTTCACTAGGGTTCTTCAATCTTATCCCCCAGGATGCAACCCACACCAGTCCACCAATACCCAGGTACCTGCTTACTGCTAAGTGAACAGGGACAGCAGGTGTAAGGAAACATGCCCAACATTTTCAACCGGCCAGGGATTGAACCATGGACACTCAGTATGTGAGACGAGTGTGTTACCCACCAGGCCAAAGGTTTGTTGTGGATCAAATCCTGGAAAACTTGACCCAAGGAATCCTATGAAAATATGCCATATTGACTGCCTTTCCTAGATTATCTTGGGATGCTAACCCTCTGAGTTAACAATCTAAATACATACAGTAAACTCTTCTATCATATTCATGGGAAAGTGCTAACCTGTATGGGGGTCACACAACCCCTTTCAAACTATAGAATGTTTGCATTATACATATTTTGAAATAACACAAAACTGCAATGTTACCATTCGACATATTTTGAAATAACACAAATAGTTCCAAAATATCTTCCACCCAGAAAAGTGGCATCATAACAATAACAAAAGGCATAAAAATCCCAGAGTTGGCTCAGCCATCTTATCAACAATCAAGACAAAGGAACACCATTGTTAACAATAATTCCACATACAAGGGGGCAATTGAATAATAATATTAGAGCAAAGAAAGTGTTTTACCTAAAACACTGTTCAATCTGATGAAAACATGGGTCACTTTCTTTGTTTGGTCAGCCATGTTACACAAAGTGGCTGATCAAAAAATCTTTAGTTTCCTAACTGTTACATTTTTCTTTTACATATATCTTTAAGCACTTACTAATTAATTGACAAATCTGGTTTCCCCAAACATTTACACATGAATAAAAACAATGGAGGTGTAATTAATAAAGTGTTTACAAGAAGACTTAAGACATTATTCATGAAGGAAGAGCTAAGTTGTTGGAGCCATACAGAGCTTGGGAAATGGAAAGAAACTAGGTCTGATCCAAGGAGAGTAGCCTCAATTCCTTGGATCAAGAGCTCTAAATTACTATTAAAACACCTCCCTTGAGGGAAGGTTACATAAAATATTTGGCTAAAAGATACCTATGTTTGCATTCTATAGACAACTTTTACATAACACAACAAGTGGCCATAGCTCTTGAACATCACAGAGGGAGACTTATAACTTTCACTATAATGCACTGTAACAGAAGACTGCTTTATTTGGACTGTTGGCCTATAACTGTTAATAACCCAGGATAACCTAAGAAAGTCAAGCATAAGGACAAGCCTAAGAATAGAGAAACCATTCACTAGGTTAACTGACCCATGCTAAGCAGGTCTTACTCACGCCCTACTCACATATTAAGTTTATTTCGGCATAGGTACACACAAGTACAATTATTGTACATAATGTAAATTACCTAGGATAACACATACCTGTAAAGCTATTTTTAAAGTTACCAAAAGTATTTGGGGGCTATGTTCCACTCATCAGCACATCTACTACTAAACTAGTACCTTCTTTTATAGCCTTTCTAAATCTAAATTTCTTCAACTTTAATCCTGGATAGTTTAGATAGTCTCAGCACTTTACAATTCCAATGTTTATTCCAGTTGTCTATTTTAAGATTTCAAACAGATTCTAATTCACTACCTTTCCAGAGGTTGCATATTCAGTGCCTTCAGCCTATCTGCAGGAAATGCACTGTAATAATACAGAATGCATTTCCATATACTAGTGGCTTTCTTGTGTGTCTAACAATGTTTTATTACATATAAACTACATTATCCTTGTACAGCATTAAACTAAATAAAAATCTGAATATGAATGCATCAGAAATCTTATGATAAAAAATAGGGTGGAAGCACTGAATTTGCATTCTCTGGAAAGAAATAGAATAAGAGGAGAATATGACTGAAGTGTGCAAGTTTATTCAGGTATACACATATACAGTTACATAGATTATCACACATAGCAGCATATGTGTAGAGAACCTGGGATAACCCAAAAAAAAGTCAAACAAAGTGACTTGTTGCCATTGGAGTCCTTTACTTATTTCCATTAGTATTAGTTTGTATAGTTTTAGTAAAACCGTATTGTATAGTATTAGTAGTACAGTAAAGTATAGTCACTTCTTTTT